CACAAGCAGGGGGAGTGGGAGAGGGAGAAGCAGGCTTTCCCGCTGAGCAGGGAGCCCGATCCGATGCGGGGCTCGATCCCAGGACCCCGGGATCATGACCTGAGCCGAAGACAGACGCTTAACCATCTGAGCCACCCAGGCGCCCTTAAATTTAGTTTAAAACTGTGTGTTATTTCTCTCTTATTGCTCTAGAAGAAAATATTTTGCTGTGACTTGTTTAGGTGAAATCCAGATTTTATTGGAGATGTTTATGCCTTTTCGGATAAATATTTCAGAAAAATACCAGGTGCCACCTGTTCTGTTGCTAGATGTGTAATATATAAGTGGTTTCTCCAACTAAGTTATGTAGATTCTTTATTAAGTGTACTCCCATGTGGAGGGGAAAAATACACCTATCACTCACTCTTCTCTGAGCTACAAATTAATAAGCATTGCATGTGGTTCGACGCTAGATTCACCATTTCCTTTTGTTTCAAAGAAGTAATCAAGTTCATTCTTGGCCTGGTGCTATCTTTCTTCAATGTGTTTTCAAATAATTGAGATCTTTAATGGGAAATCATACAGTCTTCTGTCCTAGAAGATTTTACCAGGCCGCTTGGCCCCAAATGAGGTAATCAGACCAAAAATGATTTTTTGGAAGTTGCCTGAGTGAATCCTGTGAATAAAAGGCCTTTTAGGGGCAAATTTACTCATTTTCTATCACTTATTTCCTTGATACCTTTGGTCACTTCCTAGACTATTCATTAGAAATTTCTGGCAACTGTTGGAAAGTCTGGAATGGAGATTTCTTCTCCTTTACAAACGAGAAGCAGCCCCTGGGCGTTGATTTAGCTGTTCCACCTTCTCCCAATGTCAAAGACTTGGCTGCTTTTTGTTCTGAGATTTACTTAGCAGGCACCCAGAGGATTAGGTGGAAATGACCCGGTCACCCAAGGGTGTTGAGGTCACAGAACTGTAGTTGGAGACTGCTCCCAGGATGGGCAGGTTAGAGGATTGTGTGGGTGAGCATCTTATCCTTCTCTCTATCCCTCTCTACAGGGTGAACTGAATTCATCACAGAGCAGAGGGAACCCTGCCTGTGGCAGCCTGCGTGGTTCAAGTCATATTCTCTGCTTCTGTGGCATTTATATAGCTCTCGGGGCTCACTGACTCCGTTACGGTGAAAGCCTGGGACGCGGGGGGTCGAGCCAAGTTTGGGCATCTTAACGCTGACCAGCCACACTTGCCAAGTGCTTCCTTACTTCTTGTGTCATTTATTCTTTTTTTTTTTTTTGTAATTTTTTCCCCCAGTTTTATTGAGAAATAACTGACATGGGTCATTTTTTCTGAACAGTCAACCTGTGAGGCCGGTGCTGTCCTCAGCTGGTGCCAGGAAAGCCACATCTGGAGAGTCAGCCTCCAGTGAAAGTTCTTTTAGTTGATTGGTTTGTATCTTTTACTTCTTGACTCCTTTTTTGTTTTGTTTTGTTTTGTTTTGTAGCCAAAATATAATCAGGAAATATGTAATGATGAAATACCTTGCTTTCCCTGAAACAAGACTCAAATTGGGGAGATTATCTTTCATCCTGTTTAGATTCCATAAGTCCCTGCATTTTCCTGGTTGCTCCAGGGAGTCCGCCACCTAGGAAATACCCGCTGATGGAGTCAGGCTGATACTAAAGCTGAAAAGAACAACAGGGTGTCGATGTTTGGAGGACATTCTTATCCAGGAAAAAAAGACATTTGTACTTTGGTCCTGGTTATGGGTAACTTAAGATAATTCTGGTTTGCTTATAGCTCAGGCCCTTCTACAGGATGGCAAACCTTTAAAAAAATTTTTTTCTTAAGAGATTAGGATTCTAATAATAAAGAGAAAAACATGAAAAGTACAATAAAGCTAGCTTTAGATGACAAAATAGGTATCATAGTATTTCACTTATTAAAAAAAACAAGCCATGTTTGCACACATAGGAAAGATTGGAGGGCTATACGTTGAATTTTTTTTTTTTAGATTTATTTATTTATTTTTAGAGGGAGAGAGAGCGAGCGAGCACGTTGGGGGGGGGAGGGGCAGAGGGAAAGAGAATCTCAAGCAGACTCTGCCCTGAGCATGGAGCCCCACACGGGGCTCAATCTCATGACCCTGAGATCACCACCTGAGCCAAAACCAAGAGTCGGATGCCTAACTGCACCACCCAGGTGCCCCACATTGAAATATTTTTAATAGTTCTGTCTGAATAAGGGAATTATGGATAATCTTTATCTTCTTTTGGTTTATATCTGTTTTTTAGAGTGGACAAGTAGGTGATAAGATTTTTAAAAGGCGTTTATAGGGGAAGCAGGAAGTGGTAAGGGGATATATGGAAACGATACTTTCTACTCATTTTTCTGTAAACCTAAAACTACTCCAAAAAACCATAGTCTGTTATTTTTTCGAAGGCTGTTCAGTGCTGAATTTGATGCATTAGTTTTAGTAAAGGAACCTAGGAAAGGGAAAGTAATTGTTTTATTCTGTTTAGGGTGTTGTTTTTTTTTTTTAAAGATTGTATTTATTATTTGACAGAGAGAAACACAGCGAGAGAGGGAACACAAGCAGGGGGAGTGGGAGAGGGAGAAGCAGGCTCCCCGCGGAGCAGGGAGCCCGATGCGGGGCTCGATCCCAGGACCCCGGGATCATGACCTGAGCCGAAGGCAGCGGCCCAACCGACTGAGCCACCCAGGCACCCTGTTTAGGGTGTTTTAACAAAATACTATAGACTGGGTGCTTATCGACAGCAGACATTGATTTCTCATGGTTCTGGAGGCTGGAAATCCAAGATCAAGGTCCTAGCACAACTGGTGTCTGGTGAGGACTAGCTTCCTAGTTCATGACGGTCGGCCATCTTTCTGCTCTCGGCTCACAAGTGGAAGGGACTAGATAGCTCCATGGGGCCTCTTCTATAAAGACACTAATCCAATTCTTGAGGCCCTTACTCTCATGACCTAATCACCCCAAAGACCCCACCTCCTAATACCATCATGTTGGGCAGTAGGATTTCAACAGATGAATTGGGATGGAGGGGATCACAAATAACCTATAGAAGTAACTAATTCTGTGAGTGATGGTAAAATATCTATTTATAGGTCAGGTTTCCCCCACAGAATACATGCTCAAGGGCAGAGTGGATGCTTTTGTCATCTTTTGAGAAGACACACAATAGATGCTTGTTGTATGAATGAATGAACGGATGAGTGCCAAGAACAGAGTAAGGCATTTACTCAAAGACACTCGGCCACATGCATCCTCTCTCTTCTCCCTTATGTTTCCTTACAAGTTGTGTGACTTTTCCTAACAAATATGTGTTTAAAGTCATTGCAAGGAAAAATAAATACATAAAATCATTCCAAGAATAGGAGAACAAGTTGGGGGGGGGGAATAAACATAAAGAAAAATGCACATATGCAGTCCTTTTAAAACCAAAATACAAAAATTTGTTTTTGAAGTTAGTGATATAAATCAGACTCTTGTTAAAAAACATAACTGTAAGGAAGGAATTAAGTCACATGCATTATGCTCTGACTCTAAGTTGAAGTTGTGAATAAAAAGACAAATAATCCAATTTAAAAATGGGCAAAGGAGCTGGTGATAGCTTCCTAGGGTGGATAGAACAAATTACCGCAAACTAGGTGGCTTAAAACAATAGAAATGTATTCTTTCACACTTCTAGAGGCCAGAAGTCTGAAATCAAGGTGTCAGCAGGGTTTGTTCCTACTAGGGGCTCCGAGGGAGAACCTGTTCCATGCCCCTCTCCCAGCTTCTGGTGGTTGCTGGCAATCCTTGGCACTCCTTGGCTTATAGGACATCATTGCAATCTGTCTGTGTAGCATTCTCTGTGTGTGTGTCTGCGTGCAAATTTTCCTCTTCTTAGAAAGACACAGATTGGATTCAGGGTCCCCCCTAATTACATCTGCAAAGACCCTATTTCACATACAGGCCACATACACAGGTTCCAAGTAGACATGAATTCTGGGGGGACATTATTCAACCCATCAAAGAGCTGAACAGACATTTCTCCAAAAAAAGATAAACAAATAGCCTATGAGTGCATGAAAAGATGCTCACCATCATTAGTCATCAAGGAAAGGTAAATCACAACCACAATGAGATAATATTCCATACCCACTAAAATGGCTAAAATAAAAAAAGATAATGACCGTTTGTGAACTCCTGGTATGAATGTAGAATGGTGTAGCTGCTTTAGAAAACTGTGGGCAGTTCCTCAAAAAGTTACACATAGAGTTTTCACATGCCCTAACAATTCTGCTCCTGGGTATATGTATCCAAGAGAATTGAAAACATATGCCCACACAAACACCCGCACATTATGTTCATGGCAGCATTATAGATAATAACCAAAAAGTGGGAACATCCCCATCCATCAGTTGTGAATGAATAAACAAAATGTGGTATAGTCATACAATGGAGTATTTTCAGCCACAAACAGGAATGAAGAATTCATGGATGAACCCTGAGAACATGTTAAGTAAGAAGCCAGACACAAAAGGCCACATGTTGTATGATTCCATTTGTAAGAAATGTCCAGAATAGGCAAGCCTGTAAGACAGAAAGTAGATTAGTGGTTGTCAAAGTCTGGGGGGTAAGGGTGGGGAGAGTGGGGAGTGACTACTTATGAGTACAGGGTTTTTTTTAGGAGTGACTAAAAAGTTCTGGAATTTGATACTGATGATGGTTTTGCAATCTTGTGAATAAAAATTTACATTAAGAAAAAGGAATGGAAGGATAAAGTATGAGAGTAAAATTTTCTGAAGTCAGAAAATCTAAAGAAAAGTAAGTTGTGGTATTATTTCCTTCTTGGATCTTTAAGTATTTAAATAAATGCAATACCAGGAAACCATAATAGCTTACCTTATCAAAAATTTACGGGAGTGATAAAATAATGTTCTTTATAGATTCTGACTGTATGCCATGTGTCTCTGAGTGTGACAAAGAAGACTCTGATGCTGGTGTTATCTGTCACTCAGCATCAAGATCATAAAGAAGTTCTGTGATAAATGTGGAAGATCTGTGTCAGAAATGTCTATTACCACCAGTGATTTGGGTATATTTGTAAGACACACTTAAAATTTACTCCTCATATCTCACCTTAAATCAAAGTTGGATGGTGAAAAATGAAGACCAAATTTTTAAAAAATGCTTATTTACTAGTTTGCTAAAATCTGACCAATTCACCAATTAGTAAAATGCTCTCACTTTTTGAGCTTTATAAAGTTCATCAATACCTTGAAGTACACTGTGTTTTTGTCTGCCCCTCTCCCAATTCTCTTATCTGAGGTAACAAAACTTGCCCACCTGACCACGGGGATGGGCATGTGACCCAAGCTGGCCAATCAGAATCTTCTAGAATGGAACTCTAGAAAGAAGCTGTCTTTCCACCTGAGCTGTTGGCTACCATGTTCTCTACTCTGAGGGGAAGGCCTGTTTGCAGTAAGGGGGGAGTGGGGTAGACACTCAAAGAGACATAGAGATAAGGAGAACTAGAGATGGAGAGTTCTAATCCTATATCCCTCTGGCTGCTTCTCCCTGTCCTGCCCACAGCTGGAAAGAAGGGCAGAGGGAACTATAAGGCCAATGAGTTCATCTGGCAAATCAAACATATTTAAAAAATCTATTTAACATGAGTACTCTGGGAAATATAAAGTCCTCGGCCCTGCCAGAGCCTACACAGAACAGGAGGGATGGATCTGCATATAGCCAGCTGTAGGATAGGATGGAATCAAGGCTATGGTTCAGGTGCAGACCCAGGACTAGGGCACCCCAACAAGCGGAACATGACTTTGACTTGGGGGGGGATCAGATGGGGCTTCATGGGAGGATGTGGGATCTTGACAGAAGGCCATTCCTGGAGAGAAGGGGCAGGAGAGCACAGGGTGCATTTCTCTGGGAGGAATGGCCCAACTCTGACACAGACATGGGAGGGTACGGGGCAGCTTTAAGGAGCAGAAGGTGTCCCCAAGGCTGGGGTGGTGGGTGTGGGAAGGAGGAATCCAGATAAGGTTGGGAAGGATGACAGAGCCAGAGAATGATGACTGTGGTTTGGGAAACCAAATGGTCAGGTGATGAGTGTTAGTGAAATTGAGAAGATGAAGGGCATGTGTCCCCTAAAGTCTAGTGCCATCTGGATCTCCAGACTAGAAAGCCTCTTTCTGGTTCAAACCCTACCATAATGCTAACCCATAGTGGATACTCCTGAAACCCTGGGACCAGACTATCTGGGTGACCTTGGGCAAATGATATGTCCTGTCCAAGCCTCAGTTTCTTTATCTGTAAAATGCAGTAAATACTAGTATCTACCTTATAGAATTGTCTAGACAATAAAGTAACTTATGCATGTAATGCATGCCCCCTAAACGTGACCTAAAATTTCAATTTTTATTATTCGCCCTTCTCTGGTGATCCAAGAAACCATGGCCAAAGGCTGTGTTTCATCAATTCATTCATGACTGTTCCCTGGACATCTATTAGGTTTAGGTAATTATGCTTGGTGCTATGGAGAACACAGAGATGAACAGGTCATGAGAAGCTCACAGTCTGTCAGGAGAGGAAAAATGACATCAGCTGTATCTATAATATAAGGAAGGGTAAGGTAAGTCCTTTGGCAGGTAAGAGTACTCTGGGAATTTGAGCTTAGTCTTGAAACGTGAAGGGTGCATAAGGTTCACTGACTACAAGGGAATCAAATCAAGTTGTCTTCTCCTTCCAGTGCCAAACGGGACTGGAGGTCCTGTGATGTGACAATGACAAGGCTATATTAGTCTGCCAGGGCTGTCAAAATGAAGTACCACATTGGTTGGCTTAAACAACAGAAATTTATTTCCTCACCCTTCTGAAGTTTAGAAGTCCAAAATCAGGGTTGGTTTCTTCTGAGAGCCTCCCTCCTGGGCTTGTGGATGGCCATCTTCATAGGGTCTTCTCTCTGTGTCTGTGTCCTAATCTCCCCTTCTTATAAGGACATCAATCAGATCAGATTAAGGCCCACCCATCGTGACCTCATTTTGCTTTAATTACCTCTTGAAAGGCCCTATCTCCAAAAACAGTTACATGAGGTACTGGGGTTTAGGACTTCAACCTATGAATTTGAGGGGACACAATTCAGCCCATAACAAAGGTTGAATTTGGAATGATCAACAGCCTGGTCATCACAGAGAACAAGTGTCACACTGTTTTGTAGCCCTCAGGTAAGAGAGACACTCACCCAGTCTGCAGGAAGGTGGGGGAAGGGGCCGGATGCCATGACATCCCTGAGGGGGCTCCCAGCGCTGAGGGGAATGAGGTGGTGAGTAGCAGCAGAGACATCGTGCCTGGAAGAGGAAAGAGTTCAGGCCTAGATGACAGCTTGTGGGCAAGTTGCTCTCTCTCTGTGGCCTCATGGACACACCTAGGCAGCTGGGGGAAAAAAGTGAATATCTAGCCCCGCCCCCAGAACTCTGGTTCAATGGGGTGACCTTGACATCAGCAGTTTTTCAAAGCACCCAGGTGATTCTAAGGGGCAGCCAGGGCTGAGACCCCTGGGCAAGAGGATCTTCACATTCCCTTCCAGCCGCAGACCATGATTCAAACCTAGACTTGGGATCTGGACCCCGGGATCACCACATTCTCTGGCCCTTGGAATCTCTGTAAATGCTTTCATTTAATAAAATGTCCATTTGCAATATTATAATTACTCTTTAAATTTGCATAGCCCATTACTGTTTGATGAAGTAATTGTATGGGCATTAACTCATTCATTTTTTAAAAATTTTTTATTATTATTTTATGTTAATCACCATACATTACATCATTAGTTTTTGATTGGCATTAATTCATTCAATCTTCATCACAACCCATGGGTGGGCAGTGGGCAGCTATCACCATCCCCCCTCCCCTTTATTTCTCTCCAGAGCACTCACCACCCTCCAGCATGCCAGATCATTGGCTTATTTATTTTTGTCTTCCCCACATAAGAATGTCAGCTTCATTGGGGCAGGGATTACGGTCTTTCATTTGCTGCTGGCACATCGCAGGCACTCAGTAAATACTGGTTGAATGAATTAATGAATTATAGAAGAATAAACTAAAGCCCAGAGAGGTTAGAAGATCTGCCCCAGATCACACAGCAAGTAACTGGAGTAGCTATTGAACTGCCTCTTCTCTCTGTGTTCTTTCTGCTCTGTCTACCCTTGCTCTGGACTTCCTAGGGTAACTCTGGTGTTGGAATGGACCCAGGAGGTACCAGGGGACAAGGAATTCAGAAGTTGAGATAGTTGCAGATAAGCTAGCTGCCACCAGGAAGAGTTCTTAGAACGCTCGAGATAAAGCATAGATTCCTTGCCAAGGTGAGGGAGAGCAGCTTCTGCTGATGGCCAAAAGCTTAACTTAATTTACAGCCTCTCATTTTCATTCTGGGAACAGAAGTTTTCCCTTGTAATTACCTGCAAATGGTTTGTGCTAATGCACTGAATCATGGGGCTTCCTAAAAACAGAGCATCAAAATGAGGAAGCTGCCTGGTAATCACCAGGGCTGGATGCCTAAAGAGACAATCAAGATAATCAAACTTACCACAGAAGAGGCCTCAGAGACCAAACAGTCCAACCTGCCATTTTACAGATGAAAAAGAGGCCCAGAGAGATCAAGTGGCTTACTGGGCTTACAGACGCCTGTAACTCCCTTCTTCCCTTGCTCTCCATCACCCAGATGCTTCCAGAGATGAAATGGGAATTAACCTGAATGCAGGACAACAGTTCATGGGAAGGGATGCCTGCCTCTCCCGGATCTTGTTAACCTTAAAAATAATACTATCAGTTATTTTACCAGCAAAATAGGCTTATTCAGGAATAGCCGATGAATTGCAACCCAGGACACACAAACTATGACAGAACTATAGGCAAGTCAGGAGAACAGAGGAGAAGAACCTTTTATAGAGGAAGGGAGGAGGGGTGTTGAGAGGGGCGGTTATACACAAGCCCACTGGAGGAAACTGGGAGTTCAAATTGTAATGGCTTTTCATTGGCTGGGCTGTTGCCAGGCCAAGAGAAAATCTTCCTTTCTCACCCTGGGGTAGTAAAGTACAGGCTGTTTCCTGTTGGTTCTGCAACTGAGGACTCTGGTAGGAGGTGAGAGCTACCCCTTCTGGCCTCCCCTCTCCATTTCATATGAGCTTTCCTTTACTCAGTTTCACAGTGACATCCCTGGGTACTACCCAGTCCACTTTTACCTGGGAACAGCTACGTGAAAAATCACATTGTGTGCCCTGTAGATCATTAAGAACTATGATTTCTGAGTCTTTTGGACTTTGCTACTCTCTCCACCTCTTGATTGAGAGACAAGGAACTGATTTCAAAATCAAGTGGCTTAGGTCTGTTTGCTTCCTTTTTTTTTTTTTTTTTTTTTTTACTGGATTAATTGTGTGGGTTTGGATTTCTCTGGATTCACGATTCTCTTCTTGGTCTCCCCCCTGAAACTGCATTCTAATCCTACATGACATTTGTCTGGTTTCCCCAGCAACCATCTCAAAAGCCATAAACAGCAGATTAAGGCTTGAAGGGAGAAGTGAGAGCTGCACAGTTCTGGACAGGAGGTAAAAATCTCAGCTGCTCAGGAGGATGGTTTGTAGCAATAACAAAGAAAGGATGACTCTGTGCATTTGAGTATTTTCCATGTGGAAAGGGCAGCTTTTTGTTATTTTAAAATCTCCAAGCACCTAAGATACCAACTGAGCCAGCCAGGTACTCCTCTCTTCAAATCTTAATCAGTTTATGGACATACCTTTTATATAGTTGTCAGAGTTGGCTATTTTCATTCTCTACTTATGGATTCTCTCATGGATAAACACACTCTTGTGTCTCCTCTACTCTCAATAAACTGCTTTACTTCTGACACTTCTGGTTACCAAATGTGTGTGTGTGGGGGGGGGTCCCCACATCAAGCAATTCTGTAACACCCGCTAGGTGTCCTATAATTTAACTCAATTCTGACACTATCTACTGGGAGTTAGCATCAGATCCCACAGGTTAAGGACTCAGTCCCCCAAAACTATCTCCCTCTCCCCACAGTTGCCAATCATAAGTCCGGATTGTTACCTCTGCTTCCAACCAACTCGTATAAATGAGAGGTTCCCACGGTCCCTCCCCAGGTTCAATTAATTTGCTAAAGCAGCTCACAGAATTCAGGCAAACAGTTTACTTACTAGGTTACCTATTTATTACAAAGGATATTAAAGGACACAAATGAATAGCTAGGTGAAGAAATACGTAGGGTGAAGTCTAGAAGGGTCCTGAGCACAGAAGCTTCTGTTCCCGTGAAGTTTAGGGTGTGACACCTTCCTGGCACGGGGACATACTTTTGTTCACCAACCTGGCAGTTCCCCAAACTCTATTCTTTTGGATTTTAATGGAGGCTTCATTACACAGGCATGGTTGATTAAATCACTGGCCGTTGGTGACTGATTCAACCTCCAGCCTCTCTTCCCTCCCTGGATGGAGAGGGGCAATGAAGTTCCAACTCTCTAACTTGGCTGGTTCCGGCAACCAGCTTCCAGCCTCAGGTGAACTAGAGACTTTCCAAAAATCATTGCATTAGCATACACTCAGGTGTGGTTGAAAGGGGCTTGTTATTAATAACAGAAGACACCCATTTCACCCCTATTACTCTGAAGCTATTTCAAGAACCGAGGACAAGGGCACCCGGGTGGCTCAGTTGGTTAAGCGACTGCCTTCAGCTCAGGTCATGATCCTGGAGTCCCTGGATCGAGTCCCACGTCGGGCTCCCTGCTCGGCAGGGAGTCTGCCTCTCTCTCTGACCCTCCCCCCCTCATGCTCTCTATCTCATTCTCTCTCTCAAATAAATAAATAAAGAATCTTTAAAAAAAAAAAAAAGAACCGAGGACAAAAGCCAACTATTATAACAAAAGATGCCACTATTGCTCTAATCAGGAAATTATAAGGGTTTGGGGAGCTGCGAGCCAGGAACCACGGACGAAAACCAAAATATGTATTTATTATAAATCACAATATCACATCCACACATCTCCATAAGTTGCAAAAGCCTGAGGATTTGTACGCCTGATGCCTGGTACCTCTGTTATGAAGCACAGTTGGCTTGGCCATTCTCTGTCACTCGGAACTGTGGTCATTCCTAGTTTTTACATGTGGACTATCACTTGATAATCTTGCTCCCTGTTGCCCTGATGTGGCCCCTTAGATGCCCTGTTCCTAGTGTTAACCTTACAAATAAAACTGTCAGTTATTTTACCAGCAAAATAGGTTTATTCAGGAATAGCAGAGAATTGCAACTTAGGACACTCAAGCGATGGCAAAACTACAGGCAAGTCCAGAGAACAAAGAAGAACCTTTTATAGAGGCAGGGAGTTGGGAAGGGCTGTTATAAACAAAAATTCCACTGGAGGAAACTGGGAGTTCTAAGTATAGTGGCTTTTCATCGGCTGAGCTGTGACAGTCTCTCGTTGGGTAGGCTGTTGCCAGGCAAGCAGAAAATCTTCCTTCCTCATGCCTCAGCAGTCACCCCATGGCCTTTGAATCTTCCTCCCCCTCAGCAATTCCTGTCTGCCCGTCTTCCAGAATATATCCCAAATCTGACCACTTCTCTCCACTCCCACTGCCACTCCATTATTCCACACCACCCTCCCACCTGGGCTCCCTTGATCTGTTCTTCTCAGCAAGCCAGAGAGGTCTATTTAAAACACAGGTCAGATCAGGTCATTGCCTGTCTTCAAACCCTTCCTTGGCTTTCTGTGGTCCATGAAATGAAGTCTGTACTCCTCACAGTGACCTATGAGACCTCACAAGATCTGATCTCTGCCTGCCTCTGACCTCATCCTGTCCACTCTGCCTTCAGCCCCCACTCTGGGGTCAACCACATTGGCCTTATGGGCTTTCCCTCCTCCAGGTATTCTCCAGCTCCAGTGCTCCCTGAACCTCCTTGCTTGTCCTGGTTTAAAAAAATTAAAAATAAAAATTCAATGGAGTAAATTTAAAGCTCTAATTGGCTTTATTAATGATTCATGAGTCAGGCAGCATCCCCTAGCAAGTAGAGGGGAGCTCTGAGTCGTCACATAAAACAGAAGGTTTCTAGAGGCAGGAGGGTAGGGACAGGAAGTTATTAGCAAAAGAAAAAAAGTATTGTTTCAGGCAAGGTCATTTTCCTTGTGGGGGTGGGGAAGAACAGGGAGTTTTATCATGCACATTACCTCATCCCCCTTTGGGGGACAGAGAGGGCCCATGTGACAGATTCCCTCACTTTCTCTGGTGCTGACCAGAAAATTCCTGACTGACCAGTGAAGACTTCATTTCTGGGGGCGGTTGAAACTGCAGTTAGGTTAGGTCTAAGCCTGAGTTCGGTGACATGGCCTAGCATAAGTGACTCCATCTTGGGCCTGTGGTTTTCTTAACATCCTTCAGGCCCAGCTCACCTGTCTTCTCCTAGTAGTTGGTCCTTACCCTCCCTCCCTTTCTGAAGGAACCCCTGTCTCCCACTTACAGTGATCAATGACAGCATGGTATTATTTCCTTCAAAGGACTTTTCACAGATTGTCTTTCTCTTGTGTTGCCAGGTTTTGTGCCAGAGCATCAGCTGTTTCCTGGGGCAGGACCTCCACTGGCTCTGCCCCACCTTGCAGAGTGCAGAACGCATTCAGTAGGACTTAATGAATGCATACCTGGAAAGATAAAGGTTGCCTTGAGCCTTTCAGACCCCTGCGTCGTCGCTGGGCTTGGCTCAGATGACCGACCGTAGTCAACTCTTTATGCGGGAGGCTAGTGATGCTTCTGTTCCTAAATCCCTCACAGTAGGTGTGGGCAAAAGCAGTCTGACGTGGCGGGTGACCTATGGCCTGGGTTAACAGAGAAAGCAGAAGGTGGGGCGAGCCATGGAGGGCAGAAGGCTGAAGACCATCAAATCCCATGATGCCACCCAGAGATGCCAAGGTCCCCTTTGTGTCAGCACATCCCCCTCCCTAGCCCCTATCCCTTAGCATGATAATTCTCCCATTTATCCAGTATTTTACAAACATTATCTTTTTTTTTT